ATGTATAGTTTCCATAAAGCCAAGGGAAAAAAATTATTTTGCAGTAACTCCACTGACTCAGGAAAAATGGCTCCAACCATAAGTTTTATGCCTCTCCAGAGAACATAACCTGATTTTATCAGTCAGCCACATTTTCATCCTTCTTTCTATAAGGAGTTGATCGATGTGACTGATCTTGTAACCACAAAGTAACCATCAGAGTTTCCATACTTTAATTTTTAATATGTTTTGTGTATTTTCACAAAATTTGACAAGTTTTCAGTAAACATTACATCTTTTGTACACAAAAAAAAAAAAAATCAGATTTATTAATTAAGTATTTTTACTACAAATTTGTCTGTGAATATTTGGAGTTTGAATGTTGATTGCTTTGAATGTAAATTGATTTTCATGTTAAGGTTAAAAATAGTTTTCTTCATCAGAAAATTTTCAAATTACATTTGCATAGCCTCTAAAATCTCCTAAATAGATATTAAACATTCTTGGTTTGTTTTTTCAAAAAAGTTTTATATTTTATCTGTTCTTTTGTCTACTAACTGTACAGACTCAGTCAATTAGACCAACCTTGTAACCACCATAAAATAACAGAAAAAAAAAGATGAAATAAATCTTAATAACCTTTTTTTTTTTGCTTTCTAGAATGACTGCAGATTATAACAAAAACTAGAATTGTTTATCCTAAATAGCTTAAGACTCGTAACAGTCTACATCTGTTTATACATAATTTTATTCTTTTAGTGCCCTTTTAAGTATGTCTAACTAATAATCACACCATACAAGTTGTAAATCACTTGACGAACACATAGCTTGAATGATGTTACGCATGAGTTGCTCATGAGGATATTTTTGAAGAATTTTTGTTTTATTTTTTTCTTATCTTACTTAATCAAACTTTATTTAACCTAATAAGTTCCTAATTTTAACATTTTAGTGACTTTTAAGAATATATAAAAAATATACGTGAAAAACGAAATATAGTACTTACATTTAATCTAATTATTTTGCCATCAGTTGTTGATGAAATTTAAGCCTAATATTTTTATTATAATGGTACTAGTACACTAAATAATTTTTTATTTACTTAAATAATGCACTTAAGAAAAGAGAATAATAACATCCAAATCAAACAATTTTCTATAATTATTATAGTTTAACTGACTTTTAACTAAGATCACAAGGGTTTAGATTAATTCCCTAAGCTGCTTAATCTGAACACCACAAGATAAACTTTCAAACTATAGACAAAACCGACAATACAGTGTGCTGAAAACAATGTAGCATTATGTGTCATTCAATTGATTGAAATTTTGTCTTTCTTATGGTTATATTTAATGCAGTGTAAAATGTCAAAGAGAATTATTGGCAATTAGTGAGAGGAGGAAGTGACAGGTGGACATGGCAAGCGAGTCTGATTTTCTAACTTATGGCTCCATAAACAAATAACATTGAAGGTTTTAACAGTTATGCTTTGCATTAGTAATATCTATATTATAATGAGTAATTTACATAAAATCTATACTTCACAGAGGAGTGGTAAATAAAGTAGACAAGAGGGCAGACCTATAGAACAAATGTCACAATTCTCATGCTAAGGGAGGTTGAAAATTGTTTAAAATATCTTATGAAATTAAGAAATTAAAACTAATATAATAGTAGAATTTGATTCATTAACAAAATTTTGATGACAAGTTTATTAACATACATTGAAAATAAAATAGTTTGATTAAATTTTGAATGCAACTCTAAAAGATCATAACATCCACACTTTGACCTACCCATTGTGAGAGGTTAACACATTTTATTTGTGTGTGTGTGTCAGTCTAAGACTGTGTACTAAAATCTTGCCACAGTTTACCAATATACACATCATATATTTGGAATTATAGTCAACTTCTCCAGTATTTGGATATTCAATAGACCAACTCAATGAAAATTCAGTTAATCTTAAATATTGTTTATGAAGACAGGGTAGTTTCTTCTGGTTTTTCACATTGTTTTACCATAATTTTTGCTAAATGGATTTTAACTGAAATATTTAATAATTCACATTTTGTCATTTTCTAATATTTGTTTAGTGTAATTCATAAAGAATAATGAAAAAAAATTTAAAATTTCATTTCTGCACAGCTCCCAAGTGATATAAACAATGTACTTGTCAATTTAAGAAAACAGTTCTGCCAATCCCAAATTATGACTATTATTGCTAAAAATCTATCACCCTTGGTTAGTATATATTCTGTTTTTCAATTTTCAAACATTTACCTTGTCTTTTTTCTGTTTATTTTTTGTGCAGGCCTTGGCTGACACCTTTTATAATGTCAAATCAATTGGTTTGACCATTTAATATGTTCAGCTTAAGAAATAGCTATAAAGAAAATTTAAGTATGATTGGATAGCAATAGAATTAGACTTTTCAAGTCATAATGAAGTAAATAATGTGGTTTGGGCAGTAGTTTATGATTTAGTGAAAAAGTTTCTAGTCAGAGCATCTGCATTGACCAGAGAAACAAACAAAAGAGATGGGAATTTTTTTATAGTTACTCTGGTAGTTTTTATTCATTCATAAATGTTTTTGTATGTTAAGTTATATATGTTTGAGAGCTACATAAATTTTCTTTGAGAAGACATCAGATGAGCTTTAATTTGGTTTTTTGAGTACAACAGGCTCCAATTGTTATTTATTGAATATTATTGTTATGTTTATTATATTCAAGTAATAGTTATGTAATTTTGATTTACATGAGATCATTAGTTTAATCACTGCATATTTAAAAAAACAAACGAAAATGGCAACCCCATAATCATCTTGACTTTGGTGATTTGCCAAATAAGAAATGATCTTCAAAAAACTTGCACCAAAAGTTTTGCCTAAATAAGTGTTTTTGTTTTTTATTTTTTTTACTAAATGCTCAATGGGGACAGTCAGCAGAAACACTGAAGGTGCTTATCATATGAGACAAAGGGAAGTAAAAAAACAAGTTATACATAGGAAGATTAATTTTTTGAGAATAATTGATTAGTTAGCAAATTCGACTAGTTATCCAGTTCTAATAATGACATGTGCATGTGTTGTTCTTTTATTTGAGATGGTATCAAAGTAAAATATCTTTTCACTAAAAATAGCATTGATGAGTACTGTTGTTGATTAACTCTCTTTACACGGGCTCAGTTGAATTGACTGACCACGTGACTACTTTGTACTTGTCTAAAGTCGTTATAGTTTTGATACAACTAACTTTTAATATATTTTGTGTATCTTCACAAAATTTGGCAGATTTTCAGTAAACATTACAATACTTTTACATATAAAAAATCAGATTTTTTAGTGAATTGTTTTTAATAGACCAAAAAAAGATTTGTCCGAGTCTTTTTTTTTTACTATGAGTACAAAGTGAATTTCATATTAATATTTAAAATACTTTTCTTCATCTCATAAATATTAAATTTCCTTTGCATAATCTTTAAAACCTCCTAAATATATTTAAAACGTTTTTTTTTATCAGTAAAACTTTACATTTTGTTTGTTACTTTTTTAACTATACAAGGTTGGTCAATTTAAATTAACATTTTTTCTTTCTAGAATGACTTCAAATTGTAACATGTATGAAACTACATTTGTTTATCCTTAGTAGCTTTAAACGTGTAACAGTATACATCTATTTATACTTATATTTTATTGTTTTATTGCCCTTTGAACTGTGTCTAACTGTTATTCACACTATTATAAGCTGTAAATCACATGGGGAACATGAGGCTCATGTTATGCTATAGAATTACATTACACACGAGCTACTCTGAGCTGCTCACATGCATGCTGCATGAAAATTTTTTTATTATTTTATTATTATATATTTTACCTAATCTAACCTTAGCTAACCTAAAGTTTTCCTATTTTTACATTTTAGTTACTATTATAATAATAAGTAAAGAATACAAATAAAAACGAAATAAAGTGCATATCTGGGCCTCCTCCTCCTCTTTTTTTTTGGTGTGGATTGTCAGTGACACTTAATAATACTTCTTTTTTTATACTGATGGTAGTAGTGTACTAAATAATTTTTTAATTTAACTAATGCACCAAAACATAGAAAAGTAACATGCAAAAAGCAGTCAATGTCTCATAACTATCACAATTTTTCTGGCTTTCTAACTATGCAGCAAGAGCATTATAGTAAGTAATTTACATTAAATTTCATATTCATTGGAGGAGTGCTGAATATATTAGAGAAACAGGGATGCTTACAGAAAAAATATCACAATTCTCAAACTAGGAATAATTCAGGATTTGTTTTAATATTGCCTTATAAAATTAAGAACTTGCAATGTATATAATATTAAAACATTCATTATTAGATATGATTTTATGCTATTCCAATTAGTATAACGTAAACAAAAAAGTAGTTTAATTAGATTTTAAATATAATTCACTATAAACTTTGTAACAGGTGCAGAAAAGGATGCCTGTGGTGAGAGGGATAACTAACTATACATAAAACATGCAGAATGTCAGTGACTTTTGAATTTGGGACTTATGCAAGTCTTAGGATACCATGTCTTTCACTATTTGAAAGCAATCAGTTTAAACTAGTAGTTCTAATAAAAAATGCCAGGTTTGATGTAGTGTCTTCTTAGAGTATGGGAACAGTAAAATAAAATTTGAAGATCTGTTTGATGTAACATATTATTGTTCTGTCAGGATTTCACATTATTTCATTTTGTGAGAATAAAATGCATGCTTGTAATATAAGAATTGGTGTACTCTCTGACTTTTCAGTTCTTTAGATATACATGTATATTTGTAAAACTATATATTAATTATACATTCACCATTTCTGTTCCTTGTGTAATCAACATTAATGTTAGTCAGTATTAGATGAATGGATAGATATAATTTTAGTTTTGCACACTAAGTTATATTTTTGTATTTAATGTTTTAACTTATTTTTGAATTGATAAGTAAAGCTGATAATGTAATGTCTTTATATTTTTTTATTTTTAGGTTTTTTTCAAATGGAGGATTTCCCATGTAAGTGCAATTTTTAAGATCTTCAGAAATTACTACAGTACTTTTTTTTGTAAACTGTAATTTGTAAAATTGTAGAATAGGATGGAAAAATAAGCTCACACTGACAAATATGGGCAGCATTAAGATGTCCAGATTTAATTGCAGATGATGTTAAGCAATAAATAGACTTTCTTCAGCTTCTGGAAGCCATTCATTGCTGTCATTGGCAATTAAGGAGAAATGTTCTTGTTACAGAAGACTATAACCTTCTTCAAAAACATTTAAGTTGATGCAAGTGTTTGGAACTGGTATGGATTTAAATGTACCATACTTCTAGCTTCTGCTTTGTACTGCCTATGTATGATACATAGCAACATACACATTGAAATTTAAACATCACCTATAATACAAATTGTTTTGGGATAACGTCTTCAATTGTAAAGAAAATTTTAAAATAAAGATGAGATTTGGATACTTCTGAATTGGGCTTAAGGGTAATATCTATTTGTTATCTTATTCACTTGCACAGAGAAAGACTTTGATGTCTGAAATAAGGCAACGCTATTGTAAGTGATATTTTAAACACACCATGAAGAGGTTTTGACTGTACTGAGTTAATAAGGAATCACAGCATTAATACAATGTACTGGAGTAACCATTGAGTTGTAACACGTGCTTTAACTGCTGTAGCTGATTATGTTCAAATGTATGAGACAGTTAGTAGGTACAGTGAATAATAATAGTATCTCTTAAATTAGTTTTATACTGTACTGGAATGGAACTGTTCATATGAGAATACAGAATATTGTAGGTGAATTTGTGATAGTGACTAAACATAAACCTTCTTTACATGTAATTGATACATATATAAATAGTAAATTATAACCTGTTCTTTCAAATGTAAATGTTCCCACCCCTCTACATGCTAACGAGTAATGTGCCAACCTATGATGTAATCATCATTAGACTATAACCCTCCACCAATAGGAAAGTGATACATTCTCTATGTGCAGTAGACCACATGAGAAAGTTCATTCTTTTTTTGGCATTGTTCGTCCTTATACATGTTCAAATTTGTTTCTTTGTTTTATAAATTCTGGAATTTTTTTTACTACTTTTTGTTAAACCAAATTTGTCTCACTTGCATTGTTTGTAACAAGTATTTTAACTTTAAACTCGACTCATTACTACGACAGAAATGTTTCATGCATAATTTTGCCAATGAATTCTCAGATCCACATTTATCTGCTTTTCCCAAGGTCCTGACATTCCACTTCAGGAGCTTATTCCTGCTGTTTCAGTAGTGACTGGAGGCACTGATAGTCTGTGGTGTTACCACTATTGTGCAACAGATGGTTGATTCTGTTGTATTTTCTTCATTTTGAATACAGGTTCCTCAACCTTCTGTTTTTCAGCTGAGCCTGCCACACCTTACTTTTGATTCTTCTATTTCTGATGAAGAGCAGTTAACCCCACCTTCATTCTTTGCTGCTTTGATTACTTGGGTATGTGATATTCTTTTTCTGCAGTTGTTTTGATAAGCCTCAGGCTACATTGCTACATGATCCATCTTCTTCTGACAGTCTTCTTCACCCATATCCTTCTTTGTCTCTTACTCTGCATGAATCTGCTCATCTTTTTCTTGCTGTTACTTAGCTCCTTTGTTATTTGTCTACACTTCACCTTCTCTTGGAGAATCTCCAGTATGACCCTGACAGCTTCAATGGGGACATTTGTAACTACATATTTCACTGCCTTGGCCTTGATCTCTTCTACAATGTTTCAATTTATTTGGTTTTTTTTTTACTTCTGGGATTGGCTTAGTCAGGATGCCTTACTTTCAAGTATTAACCTCTTTCAGTGTTATTTCAGGAGACCTTCATTGACTCCATTCCTTCAAGATGAGGTTTTGGAGGTGTTACTTAAGGAACACTTTCAAAACTGAAACTGAGGCTGCTCATCAGCAGTCTTCTCTGATTACATTGGTTTCACAAGTTTTCCAGTCCAGAGGTCCCAACAGGTTTCTTGTCTTTGGGATTCTTGTGGAGTTGTTCCCTTTCATGGATTTACTTTTGGAGTTGCTCCTTGAATCACCTCTGGTAGGAGCTTGGCTTTCCATCATAGCATACCTGTGGACTTCCTTTATAAACAGTCTTTGAGTCGTACAGGTGCTTTTTTCATGGACTTACCTTATATTTTTGCACTCAGTCTCCTCTTTCTACTTCTTCAGTTAGAATTTTCAATAATATTTTATACTTCACAGGGCTTCTAGACATGTATATGTATGCTAGATCGTAAATCATTCCTACAGATCAGATGCTAACACAACTAATGTTAGAATCTAACATGTCTGATTTTAATACCTAGACCTAAAACATTAGCTAGATCTAGTCTCTAGATCTGGATCTATGTTATAACATAGTAAAAATTGTTAAATCAATACAGCTATGAGCACCTAAATTCTGTCCTAAAATTTAGCACTAAAGGTGTAATCAGCTAACATTATGCCTAGGCCCAGTTGTTCATGTATGTGGGATAAGAAGCAGATCGAGTTATGCACTTAACAGTTAGATCTAATATATCAAGGTAAATCTAGTTTTCTAAAGATTAAAAAGAAAATGTATTCAATATTAGATCTAGACATCTATTAGTGCCAGTCATTTTCAATGAAATTAGCCATTTTTCTTGTAGGCTAGCTTGTGTTTATAAGCATATGTCTAAATAACAACTGTGAAGAAATTTTACTTGGACTTAGAGTCTTCATTTGGTTGTATTTGCAGGATTCAGATATAGATTTAATAATAAAATATACCTGTTTTCATTAAACCTTTATCTATCACTGCTTGCATGTGCATATTGATGTTTGTTAGGTCTTGACCTAGTTTATTGCAATGTTACATCTACATGCTTATGTCAGTTATGGAAAGAAGGCAATAACTCAGCATCCAATGCTTGTTGAAGTAATATAACATGTTATAGATCACATCAATAAATTTTTCATTTAATCTTTTAATAGGTCTATAGTGTAACTGAAATTATCCATAAATTTATGAGGTGTCAAAAATACCAGCATCTTTGTTTATCTCAAAATGAGTTTTTTGCATACTAGTGTGTGTGTGGCACACACATCATGTTATATAGACAGTAACTGTTTAAGTCTATTTGCCTGTGTTTGCATCCCTGCATTATGACCCATGATTAGTGAAAAGTTTCAAGAATAATTCAAGAACTAACAATGTATTGGACATCCAACACTGCCAAACCAAACATTGGCCATCATGTACAGCATAGTTTAAAGGCAATTTAAACGTCTAGATCTCTTTGTTTTTTGCAAGGAATTCTCTGTGAAATTCAGGGAATCCTGCTAAATACATATCAAAACAATAATAGCAAAATTATAATGGTGCATACTAATACATGTATAGCATTATTAGTGAATAACTAACAATACTTAATAAATCTCATTATAAATTTTATTTAAAATATTGTGTAATAAGTTCTACCAAATTAAAAAAATTAACAGCATTACATAATAATCTAATACTTTTGAGTATTGAATATAATGTTAAAAGACCAGTATAAAATAATCAAATGAACATTGTTTATATTTGTGAATTTAATTTTTATTTCCACTGCCCCGCAAGTGTGCAAAATGCTGGGCCAGTGTTGTTTTAAAACAAGTTGGTTTTCAAATCAAAACTATGGAATAGTAAGAAAGGGATTCACACTCTAGAAAAGCAAGATGTAAACTATGTAAAAGTTCGTTTGACATCAGCAGCATGGGAGAAGCAGATTTGCATAGTTATGTGACAAGCAAGAAACATAAAGACATTGCAGGCAATATCAAGCAGCAATATTACTATCTGGACCTTCTTCAAAACTATCTTAACAGAAACCACCCATCTTTAAAAAACAACAAAAACTTTCACAATGACTGAATGAATGCATCCAGTCATTTTTCTTCTACTGGTAGTTTAAGATCAGACGTTTTATAGATTTTGAAAACTATTGACTGTCATGGTTCATTTCATTCAAAGGAAAAGTGAAATTGAGGTTTTCTTGTGGGGAAGATAAAACATCATACATAGCCATACATGTATTAGTTTCATGTTTCTCTTCCATACTGAAGCAGAAAATTCAGAAATCTGATGAGAGCTTGAGCAAGTCTCTCAAAATGAAACAGTGACATTCGTTCTTGCTTTTGGGATGAAAAAACTGTTGGCACAAGATACATCAAATCAGAATTCTTAGGATATGCTTCTGCCACTCTTCTATTTGACAAGTAGTTCCCTCTCATTAAAGACCTCAGTTTTAAGAATTTATTGCAGATATCCATGGATGGCCGTAATGTTAATTAGATATTACATGAAATGTTATCAACTGAAGTTAATAAACTCAATCCAGAAAGATTGCAAGTTGTTTTTTCTGGCTTAGACACAATTTACAGTGCTTTTAGAGATGGATGTAAAGCAGGTGACTAGAAATTTAATCTCTGACAAATTTCTACTATTTTAACAAATATTTTCAGCAAGAACTCATTACTTCAAAAGTGAGATTGGATACTGAGACCTTCCACCAGAGTTTTGTAAGCACCAATGGCTGGAGAATGTTAGTGTTATGCAAAAGTGGTTGTCTCTGCTACCTCATTTTAAAATATATGTGGGTGCACAGAAAACCCATCAGAATGAAAGCAATAGTACAGTATTTGTGAAGCTGTTAATTCCCATCTCTTCATCCCCAAAGCACAATTTTTTTCTCTGAGTTGTTAGAGAATTCAAACCTTTTCTAAGAGAATTCCAGGATGATAAAGCAATCTTGCCTTTTATGGCTATGTATCTCTTTGATTTTAGCAGGGGATTGTTATTTATCACTTCACAGTGACTGGATAACATAACTGAACCACAAGATGTTACAAGTCTGGATTTGACAGACAAAAATATTTCAAAAGAAAGTCATCACTAATTTAAAGAGGGCTTGAAAAGTTAGTGATAAAGACTTGCTAGGCTTTAGACTTGAATGCA